GATAACGATTTGCAGGTTTGTACCATATGTATACTTGTGCCATGTTGGGCGTGACTGCCCACCCATCAAATCGTCAGCACCCATCACACTCGTCATTACAATTCAGGTTATAACTCCCAATGCAATCCCTCGCCCCATCCTCCCACCCCCATGATAAGGCCCTGCGTGTGTGCATGGTCCTCCCTTTCCGATCCAGGTTGGATCTCATTGTTCAGTTCTCCCCCTAATGAGTAGAACATGCGGTGTTTGGTTTTCTTTCTTGCGGAAGTTTGCTGAGAATGATGGTTTGCCAGCTGCAACCTGTCCCTACAAAGAGACAGCAAACTCATCCGTTTTTATGGCTTGCATAGTATTCCATGGGTGTAATATGTGCCACATTTTTCTTGAATCCAGCTGTCACTGGATGGACAGTTTGGGGTTGATTCCAAGATCTTTGGCTATTGTGAATAAGTGCCGCAATAAACATACGCTGTTGCATGTGTCTTTATAGCAGCATGAGTTTATCTAATCCTCTTGGGTATAATACCCAGTAATGGGATGGCTGGGTCGATATGACTTCTAGGTTCTAGATCCTTGGAGGGAATCGCCATACTGTTTGTCCATAATGGTTGAACTAGTTATACAATCCCACCAAACAGTGTAAAAAGTGTTCCTATTTCTCCACATCCTCTCCAGCACCTGTTGTTTCCTGACGTTTTTAATGACTGCTATTCTAACTGGTGTGAGAATGGTATCTCAGTGGCTTTTGATTTGCATTTCTCTGATGGCCGAGTAGATGATGACATTTTTCGATGTAGTCTGTTGGCATGTATGAAGTGTCTTCTTATTGGAGAAACTGTCTTTGTTTCATATCCGGTTGGCCACTTTGTTCGATGGGGTTAGTTTTTTTCTTTGTAAATTTGTTTGAGTTCTTTGTAGGTTCTCTGGATATTAGCCCTTTGCCAGATGAGTAGATTGCAACAAAAATTTTTCTCCCATTCTGATAGGTTGCCTGTTCACTCTGATGGTAGTTCTTCTTGCTGTGCAGAAGCTCTTTAGATTTAATTAGGATCCCATTTGTCAAATTTTGGCTTTTGTTGCCTTGCTTTTTGGTGTTTTAGGACATGAAGTTCCTTGCCCATGCCTATGTCGCTGAGATGTATTCCCTAGGGTTTTCTATCTAGGGTTTTTATGTAGCTAGGTCTAAGAATTTAAGTCGTCTAATCCATCTTAGAATTAAGTTGATTTGTATAAGGAGTAAGGAAAGGATCCAGTTTCAGCTGTTTCTTACTTATGGCTAGCCAATTATCCAGCACCATTTAATTAAAAATAGGGAATTCATTTCACCCATTTGCTTGTTTTTCTGAGGTTTGCTCAAAGAATTATGAAATGGCGTAGATGTGTGGTATATTTCTGAGGCTCTGTTCTGTTCCATTGTCTATATCTCGATGTTTTAGGTACCAGTACCATGTTCGTTTTTGGTACTGTAGCCTTGTTGGGTAAGGTTTTGAAGTCAGTAGAAGGTGATGCCTCCAGTTTGTTCTTTTGATTTTTAGGATTGTCTTGGAATGTGGGGCTCTTTTTTGTTCCATATGAACTTTAAAAGCAGTTGTTTTCCCAAATTTCTGTGAAGAAAGCTCTATTTGGTAACTTTATGGGGGATGGCATTGGAATCTATAAAATTACCTGTTGGCAGTTATGGGCATTTTCAACGATATTGATCTTCTATCCAATGAGCGTGGTATGTTCTTCCATTTGTTTGGTTGTCCTCTTGTGTATTTCACTGAAGCAGTGGCTTGTAGTTCTCCTTGAAAGAGGTCCCTTTACATCCCTGTAAGTTGGATCCGTAGGGGATTTCATTCTCTTTGAAGCAATGTGTGAATGGATAGGTTCATTCATTGATTTGGCTCTCTGGTTTTGTTGTACTGGGTATAAGAAGCTTTGTGATTTGTTGCACAATTAATTTTGTATTCTGAGACTTTGCTGAATTTTATCAGCTTTAAGGGAGATGTTTTGGGCTGAGACAATGGGCGGTTTTCTAATAATACCAATCATGTCATCATGCAAACAGGGACAATTATGACTTCTTCTTTTCCAACTGAATACCCTTTATTTCTTTCTCTTGCCTGATTGCCCTAGCAGAAACTTCCAAGCACTGTATGGTTGAATTAGGAGTGGTGAGAGAGGGCATTCCCTGTCTTGTTGCCAGCTTTCAAAGGGAATTTTTTCCGTTTTTGCCCATTGAGATACGCTTTCCATCAATACCGAATTTTATTGGGATGTTTTTAGCATGAAGGGCTGGTTGAATTTGTCAAAGGCCTTTCCCTCGCATCTATTGAGATAATCATGTGGGTTTTTGTCTTTGGTTCGTGTTTATATGCTGGATTACGTTTACTGACTGTGCGATATGTTGAACCAGCCTTGCATCCAGGGCATGAAGCCCACTTGATCATGGTGGGGATAAGCTTTTGATTGTGCTGCTGGATCCGATTTGCCAGTATTTTATTGAGGATTTTTGGACATCGATGGTTCATCCAGGGGATATTGGTGCTAAAAGATTCTCTTTTTTTGTTGTTGTCTCTGCAGGCTTGTTGGTGGTATCAGGATGATTTTGCCCTCATAAATGATTAGGGAGGATTGTCCCTCTTTTTCTATTGATTGGAATAGTTTTCAGAAGGAATGGTACCAGCTTCCTCCTTGTAACTCTTGGTAGAATTCAGCTGTGAATCCATCTGGTCCTGGACTTTTTTTCATTGGTAGCTTATTAATTATTGCCCTCAATTTCAGCCTGCTCATTAGGTCTATTCAGGAATTCAGCTTCTCCTCCTGGTTGTAGGTCTTGGAGAGTGTAAGTGTCCCAGGAAATTATCCGATTCTTCTCTAGATTTTAGTTTGTATGTTGCCTGTAGAGTGTTTATAGTATTCTCTGATGGTAGTTTGTATTTTCTGTGGGGTCGTGGTAACCCCTTTATCATTTTTTATTGCGGCTATTTTATTCGGTCTCCTCTTTTTTTCTTTATTAGTCTTGCTAGCGCGGTCTATCAATTTTGTTGATCTTTTTCAAAAACCGCAGACTCCTGGATTCATTGATTTTTTTGGAGGGTTTTTGTGATGTCTCTATCTCCCTCATTCTGCTCTGGGCATCTTAGTTATTTCTCTGCTCTGCTGCTTTTGAATGTGGTTTGCTCTTGGCTTCTCTAGTTCTTTTAATTGTGATGTTGATTGTGTCATATTTTAGAGCTTTGTCCAGCTTTTCTCTTGTGTTCATTTAGTGCTATAAATTTTCCCTTCTACTACATCTGCTTACAATGTGTCCACCAGATTCTGGTATGTTGTTGCACATGTACCCTAGAACTTAAAGTATAATAAAAAATAAAAATAAAAGAAATTAATTTCCAAATCAAATTTGAGAGCACCTTGTGGTAAATGGTAGGCTATAGCATCTCCCTTAGTCCAACATCTTGTAACAAAGAGATCTTCACATGTAGCCATTCTTATATTTTGAACTCTTTTTAGTTGTTTTAGCTTTTTACTAAATTTTTTCCAAGATATGTGTGCTTTTCAAATGGGAAGCATGTGATTCTATCCAAAAAGTAGCCCAGTGTTAATACAGTAATTTAAGAAACCGTCCAGCAGAGGTCTCTGAACTTCATGGTTTAATAAGAGCATTTCGAACAATAAATCAAACCTGATTCTTTGCATAACAGAAATATACTTCTACTGAGCATATTTTCCAGATTGGATTTTAGAATAACTGTATTTCACATAGGTTAAACTCTGCTTATTCATGTTTAAAGACACCGAAGACTTATGTTTTCAGATTTTTATTCCCCTAACTGGACAAAAACCTGGTTACCACCAACTTTGCACTATAAAAAGAATAAATATATATGAAAACGTGGAAGACAAAAGTAACAACTAATAATTCTACTATGCCACCAGCACTACAAAGGCATTGATGTAGTTTGACTTACTTTCTATGCAGCCAAAATCCATAATTAAATCAAGCAACTGGCTGTATTGCTTGATTTATAAAGAACATGCATGATTGGACTGTGAAGATACACTTTTCTTTGTGCAAAAGCAGGAAATAAATAAATACCAATTTGTATGTTTTGTGTTGCCAGCGATGAAATCTACATTGCTCCTTCAGGAGTGCAAAAGGAACGAATTCAGGTATGATAAAGGGATTCTTTAACCTCAGTGTCTCTTCTTCTTAATTACTGTTTTATGAAATGGAATTAATTTTAAGAGAAAACGTTCATTTTATCACAACAATTTGAATAACTAATCAACAAACATTTATTGAGTAATTATTAAATGTTTTTTAAGGTGGTAGATATCCTCCATACAACCAGTATATGTTTTGAAATCTTATTCAGCCTATAGGGGGCAAAAGTGAATAGTGCAGTCTTAAATCACAGTAAAGAACAAGTATGACTTTGCAGCTTTATAACACTACGATCTTTATCAGGCTGGTGGAATAATCAGATTGATGGTCTCAGATGAAACAAATTAATTCATATTTCATAATAGCAAAGTTATTCTAATTTCGAGATTTCAAGTTATGAAACTTTGTTTCAGATTTTGAGAAGTCTCATTCTGTGTTAATGCTGGACTAATACCCCAAATCTAGTTAAAGCAAACACATAATTATTTAACTTCTAATACAAGAAAAAAGAAAAGCTGCTTTGTTAATAAAACATTTATATTGTAGTTTTTTGATAAACCTTGGCAGATAAAAGCTACATATCAGAAATACTTGAGGGTGAAGGGTGGGAGGAGATGAGGATGGAAAAACTGCTGTCAGTTACTATGCTTATTACGTGGGTGACAAAATAATCTGTACACCAGACTCTTGTAACATGCAATTTACCTATGTAACAAACCTCCACATGTACCCCTGGACCTAAAATAAAAGTTGAAAAAAAAAGAAAAACCTGTAGATCTACATAATTTCTTAAGCTTTAAGAAGAATATACCTTATTGAGATTAACCTTTCTGAGTACCAGCTAAATTTCTCAAGGGTTAGAAAATTTTACTCAAAATTTTGGTTTTATTTTACAAAATGTGGAGAAAAAATTTTAACACCCGTCTTTGGAATGTCGATTTCTTTATATAGGCTCTCTGAAATATAGTTGTGAAATTATAGGGCAAAGTTGAGAAGCTAAATTGATGAAATGACAGCAGTAAAATCATTATATAAATAGTAATTTTCCTTATCATTTTTTGTCTTCAAATTTTTTTTTAATTTTTGAGATTTATATTAAACTTTTGAGAATATTTTTACCAGTAGAAATCATTTTTTTATTTCTCAAAATTGTTAAATTATTTTGAGAAACTATAATTATATATTTAAAATGTAAATTAAATATATACATATATTAGCACTCTTTGTATATGTATACTAAATATATACACAAGTATGTATACTATAGATAAACACTTTCTTGTATTCTTGTGTATATGTACACAAGAAAAGAAACATTTCTAGTTGGTATTTTATAAGCCCTCTTTTTTTCTTTTTTTCCCTCTATAAATAGCCTGAAGACATGTTTGTTTGTGATATAAATGAAAAGGACATAAGTGGACCTTTGCCATCTAAGAAGCTAAAAAAAAGCCAGTGTACTCCTCTTTTCATGAATGCTTACACAATGAGAGGTATGCAGAAAATGTATTCAACATAAAGAATATTTGCAGAGTAGGCTCCTCTAAATAATGGTAATTATTATTTCAGTTAACATTTCTTGGATACCCACCATATGCAAGAACTTTAAGTGCATGAACTTACTCAGTTTTCACATCAACCTATGAGAAAGGTCCATTATTCCACTTACCCTGGTGCCCACCACCAACTTATTCCATGCCAGGAAAAATAAGCCCATAACCATATGTATATATATGTATAACTATATGGCCTTTTTTTTCTTTAAAAGCTGTAATTCGGCCTTCACTGAGCATGCAGCTTTCTTCTTCCTCCTCCAGGAGCAGGTGCAGTGATTCATACCCACTCTAAAGCTGCTGTGATGGCCACCCTTCTCTTTCCAGGACGGGAGTTTAAAATTACACATCAAGAGATGATAAAAGGAATAAAGAAATGTACTTCCGGAGGATATTATAGGTATTTTTTTTCCTTTTCTTAAATAATTTGAAAAGAATTCTTCCTTCTCTTTGATAAATAGAATACTGATCATTTTATGCGTATAATGAGATGTCATGGGATCTCTATTAAATAATACTCCATTTAATATTACACTTCCAGACCTATTCTCATGACACAAATGGGATGTCTTCCCTCCTCTCCCGCCCCTATACCAGCCATGGTAAATTAGCACTATGAATAATGAAATATTTGTTTAAGTAAACTGAAAAAACTCTTGACTGAGAGCTCTACCATTATGGAAAGACCATGGTCCTATATTGAGGCACCCAAAGATCTCTTCACCTTCACTTTGGTCTTCAGAAATTTGAGCAGTGACTACAGTTTATACTTCATGATGATTTAATTTAGCGTTTCTGGAATATTTTCATATTTATGTAAGTTTTCTTAATAAAGTAGATCTCTGTATTTTTAGAATTTTTTAGTGTGGAAGGTGATATGGATAGTAAGTATAGATTACCATTCTAGATCAGTTTAAATAAATTCACCAGTCCACAAAAGTGTAGTAATTCTTCATAATTCTAGAATATAATGGCATGAAGAAACATGTTCTCAGTGTTCAGGGGCAAGCTAAGCATTTCATTTGAGTTTATTAGCATTCTCATTCCTGAACCTTCACTCTTAATTTCCTAAAGGGCTTGATCCTACCTTGCCTTGTTTAGAGGAAAACGGTGCCTGTTTTACTAAAGTGTTATTACTACAGTATCATATTCTTACTGCACATAATGGAATGTATATGTTTAAACTAGTGCACTGAGATACTGATTTGATTTCAGTTAATATTTATTGTGTGCTTAAAGCATTCCTCAGGACTGTGAAACACCAATTTACAAAAGTTAAATATTTAAATTAAGAGAAGTGTACATACTGAGGAAAGTAGAGTCCCAGATTGCCTCTTCCATATCTGGGGCTGAAGGAGAGGCCTTATGGGTGCTATCAGTTTCATATGAATTTTATTGTTTTGATGAAGAAATAAAAATAGATCAGAAGAATCAGTTTTTCTGAAAAGAGGGAAAAGGTAAGGTAGAGGAACAGGGCATAAGAGAGTCTTTGCAATTTTGTTGGAGGCCAAACATGGTGGCCCTTTGCAATTTTGTTGGAGCCTAGCTGGGAAATGAGTAATAGAGTCATTATCACAGCTCAGGAGGCAGTGTTATTGTGTCTGAATTTGAAGAGAATCCTGAGTCTAATCAAAAGAAGGGCAATGACAGCTGGATGAGGTAAGAAAGGATGGAGTTTAAAATTATCTACTGTATTTTTTTTTAAGTTTATCTTTTATATAAAGAACATCTTTAAAATACAGTCACATGTCACTGTGGATGGGGATATGTTCTGCGAAATGTGTCACTAGGTGATTTCATCATTGCTTGTGTATGCAGAGTGTACATACACAAACCTAGATGGTATAGCCTACTGCACACCCAGGGCATATGGTATAGCCTAATGCTCCTAGGCTACAAGCCTGCATAGCAGGTTAGTACAAAGTACTGTAGGCAATTGCAACACAATGGTAGGTATTTGTGTATCTAAACATAGAAAAGGTTCGGTAAAAAAATACGATGTAAAAGATAAAAAGTGTTACACCTGTCTAAGGCCCTGACCATGAACGGAGCTTGCAGGACTGGAAGTTGCTCTGGGTGAGTCAGTGAGTGAGTGGTGAGTGAATGTGAAGGCCTAGGACATTCCTGTGCACTACTATAGACTTTATAAACATTATACATTTAGGCTACACGAAATTTATTGAAAACATTTCTTAATAACCTCAGCTTACTGTAACTTTTTTAGTTTATCAAGCTTTTACTTTTTTTTTTTTTTTTTTTTTTACTTTTGGACTCTTGTAATAGTACCTTAAAACACACATTGTACAGCGATACAAAAATATTTTCTTTATATCCTTATTCTATAAGTTTTTCTATTTTAATTTTTTTTTAACTTTTTAAACTTTTTTTTTTTTAATCTGAGACAGAAACACATATATTAGCCTAAGTGTACACAGGGTCAGGGTCATCAATATCACTGCCTTCCACCTCCACACCTTGTCTCACTGGAAGGTCTTCAGGGGCAAGTAACATGCATGGAGCTCACATTTCCTGTGATAACAGGGCCGTCTTCTGGAATACCTCCTGAAGGACCTGCCTGAGGCTGCTTTACAGTTAACTTTTTAAAAACTATATAAGTAGAAAGAGTATACCCTAAAATAGTGTTTTAAAATTATAGTGTAATAAATACATAAACTACTAACATAGTCATTTATTATTATTATCAAGTATTAAATACTGTACATAATTGTATATGCTGTACTTTCATAGAGCTAGCAGCACAGTAGGTTTCTTTACACCAGCATCACCACAGATATTTGCATAATATGTGGTGCTGTAACCTTATGACAGCTAAGTGGTCATTAGGCGATAGGAGTTGTTGGGAGCCGAAAATGCCAAAGGGATCGTGACCAACTCAGCATTCCACTGGAGGCTGTATGATCAAACAGCTAACTGTTTATCATGAATGCAGGATGTGAGCAAACTCACCCTGCGCCTGCCACCAAAAGGTTTGCTGAGGGACATCACTCCCTGGCACAGGGCTCCTTGAAGTTCTCTGTTGAGAAATCTAGCACCTATTGTTTGAAGGATACAGTCTCACAAGCCTGCTGTGAACCAAATGGCTGACTGACAGCTGCCTGACAATCACCCCCCCCACGATCACCCCCCATTTCTCGTTGTCTCTTTTACCAATAAATATGGAGGGCTATGTAAAGCTCAGGGCCCTTGTCCACTAGAGGCAAGGTGCCCCCAACCCCTTCTTCCAAACGTACTCTCTTGTCTTTATCTTTTATTCCCATGTTCACCCCCTTTGTTCAGTCCACCAGGTCCATGCAGGTTAGGAGTTTTTCAGCTGTTATAATCTTATAGGACCACTATCATATCTGTGGTCTGACATTGACAGAAACATGGTTTCTGTCATGACTGTACTAGTTCTTACCAGGGAAGGTTAACATATGTATCTGTATAATGTATACGTATATACATGTGTATATAATATATATGTATACATATATTGTATAATGGTATACGTATACATAACATTATAATTGTACTCCCTTTCAGAAGCAGCGTTTCTATGGTACAGTGAAAACAATACTCTTTGAGGGTCAAAGGGCTATCCTGGCCCTCTTTCTCATTTAACTTGTCTGGATCAGTGTCATGTTTGTAAAGTGGGAGGATTGGCTTGAATTCGCTTTCAGGTCTTATTTTGCTGTGAAATTATTTTGCTCCTGAAAATATATCTGACTATTGAGTGCATGCTAGAGAAAAATATAAGTTTGTGGTTCTCTTGGCCAATATTAGGAAAGATTTGAGACTAGCAATTCATTCCTTCAATATTAAGGATAGTGGGATTTGTTTTTTGTTTTTTGTTTTGTTTTGTTTTTTTTGAGACCAAGTCTGGCTCTGTTGCCCAGGCTAGAGTGTAGTGGCTCGATCTTGACTCATGCAACCTCCGCCTCCCGGGCTCAAGCCATTCTCTCACCTCAGTCTTCCGAGTAGCTGGGACTACAGGCATGCACCACCATACCTGGCTGATTTTTGTATTTTTTGTAGAGACAGGGTTTCACCACGTTGGCCAGGCTGGTTTTGAATTCATGAGCTCAAGCAGTCCACCTGCGTTGGCTTCTCAAAGTGCTGGGATTATAGCCATGAGCCACCGCACTCAGCCATAGTTAAGGATATTCTATAATTACCTCTGTTTTACTTAAGTGAAGTAATGGGCAGCTCTATACTCTTAATGATAATGGTTGGCCAAGTTATCAGTCACATGATGACTACTTAGTCTATGCTTGCCCTGCAGTAGCAATTTCTGAATACTTTAGCTAGAAATTTTTTTTTTTTTAAGTTTTAGCACTACAAAGTATCTGAGATACTAGTGCCACAAACCATGCTTGTGTTTATTGATTTGCCTATCTCAGATACTTTGGGGTTCTGCAGAAATGAAATACAGTGATTTTGTATTATTGGGAAATTCTTAATATAAAATTCAATTTTTAATCTTTTCTATGCTTCTGATTCTGAAATATATCATTTGCCATCTCCTTGTGTAAATATTATGATTGTCCCTGCTTCAAGGAAACATTTGCATGATCTTGATGATTTCTTTGTTAGGTTTTGCTGTATTTTACAAATTTCCACCACTTAGGTTTAGGATTAGACCAAGCCTGCCACATTACCAAGATACCTTTTGGTAGAGATGGTTATACAAGATACCTAGAATAACACGCAATATCCTGTTCATAAAAAGAGCGTGTCTAACTGGTTACTTGAAAAAATTACATATTGTATACATAGCAATGCTTGATTTTTTTTAATGGAAAAAAATAGCTTGTTTTGTCTTACAGATATGATGATATGTTAGTGGTACCCATTATTGAGAATACACCTGAGGAGAAAGACCTCAAAGATCGAATGGCTCATGCAATGAATGAATACCCAGACTCCTGTGCAGTACTGGTCAGACGTCATGGAGTATATGTGTGGGGGGAAACATGGGAGAAGGCCAAAACCATGTGAGTGTAAATCAACATGGGAAATAAGTTACCACCCGCTAAATGTGAAAGAAAATAAAGTATGTCAGTTGGTTTAAATTTAAATTGTTTATCATTATTTCTAGATACTTTATTTTTATTATATATTCATTCATGAAGAAGATTGGATGAGCTATTGTTCATTCATTCATGAAGAAGATTGGATGAGCTATTGTTTGGCAAGGCTCTAGGAATGTTAATAGAGGAAGAAGACACAGATCCCAAGTTACAAAAGTTCTATTTCAGAAAGTGACATCTAGTTTTAAAAAAGTGTAAATTTATGTAGGCAGTATATTTTAAACTCTCTTTCATTTCCTGAGAGGTATGTAATACGGTTGCATGACTTAATATGATTCCTTTCTGTGTTTTAAAAATGTTGAGGGCAAAATAAAGTTTTGGCCTAGAATTGAGAGAAAATATGTACTAGGAACAAAGCAGAGTTAACTGTAAGAGAGGAGAAATGTGATTCTTTAGGATTGGAGAACTCTGTTGTTCAATAAACACTGGTTCTTTTTGCTTTTTGTTTTACAGGTGTGAGTGTTATGACTATTTATTTGATATTGCCATATCAATGAAGAAAGTAGGACTTGATCCTTCACAGCTCCCAGTTGGAGAAAATGGAATTGTCTAAGCCGAAAGGAAGTCTAATTATATACAGAGATAAAGCTCAACATAATTATTATTTAAATAAAAGCTATTTTTTTTAATGAATTGAAATTTTTCATGATGCTACTAATTTGCCACTAAATACTGCAAATGGTCACCCTGAATCTCTTCTGACATTGGATGTTATTTGCTTATATTCTTATAATTTTAAATGAGGGGACAGTGAAATGACAATTTTATACTCTATGTTTTTGTTTATTTTTAAATCCTTAGCAGCAAAATATTTGCCTTTAATTTCTTTTTATATATACTCTCAGAAAATTCCTCTTAATTTTTAAAGATGCTGGTAATAATAAAATTCATTGGAAAATTTCCTCATTGTGAAATGAGCATTTTCTTGTTTTAATGTTGGTGTCAGAAAATATATGTGAAACATTAAGTCCAAATTTATCCCTCAATGTTAATGTTAATAGATTTCCCCTATTAACTTTAGTGTTTCCCTGTAGTCTACAATAGGGCACTCATTTTATTTTGGGATCAGTTGTGAAATTCAGATCAGGTGGTATTAACTCAAAATTCCCTTAACCAAACAGATCTTGATCAAACCAGTGATGTAATCAGAAAGTACTTTCTTTAAAATTGTTTTAAATTTTAGGTTTGGGGGTACACACATGAAGGTTTGTTACATAGACAAACATGTCAAGGGGTTTGTTGTACATATTATTATGTCACCCAGGTATTTAGTTCAGTCAGTACCCAATAGTTGTCTTTTATGTTCTTCCTCCTCCCACCCTCCCCCATCAAGTAGACCCCAGTGTCTGTTGTTTCCTTCTTCGTAGTCATAAGTTATTACCATTTAGCTCCCACTTATAAGTGAGAACATGCAGTATTTGGTTTTCTGTTACTGTATTAGTTTGCTAAGAATAATAGCCTCCAGCTCCATCCATGTTCCCGCAAAAGACATGATCTTGTTCTTTTCTATGGCTGCATAATATTCCATGGTGTATATGTACCGTATTTTCTTTATCCATTCTGTTACTGATGGGCATTTAGGTTGATTCCATGTCTTTGCTCTTGTGAAGAGTGCTGCAGTGAACGTTTGTATGCTTGTGTCTTTACGGTAGAATGCTTTATATTCCTTTAGGTATATACCCAGTAATAGGATTGCTGGGTCAAATGATTGTTCTGCTTTTAGCTCTTTGAGGAATTGCCATACTGCTTTCCACAATGTTTGCACTAATTTATACTCCTACCATCACTGTGTAAGGGTTCCCTTTTCCTTACAACCTTGCCTGTATCTGGGTTTTTTTGTTTGTTTGTTTGTTTGTTTGTTTGTTTGTGACAGAGTCTTGCTGTGTCACCCAGGCTGGAGTGCAGTAGCTCACTGCACTTGGCTCACTGCAACCTCCGCCTCCTGGGTTCAAGTGATTCTCCTGCCTAAGCCTTCCAAGTAGCTGGGATCACAGGCGTGCTACCAGGCCTGGCTAATTTTTGTATTTTAGTAGAGATAGGATTTTGCCATGTTGGCCAGACTGGTCTCAAACTCCTAGCCTCATGTGACCCGCCCACCTCAGCCTCCCAAAGTGCTGTGATTACAGGCATGAGCCACTGCCCTCAGCCTGTTCTCTGGATTCTTGGCAGAGGTTCTTCCACTGGGGAAAAATAGTTTTAGCCACCTCTGGTTAACTTCATTTTCCTTGTTTTAAAATGCAGCTAATGAATAAGATAAAGTATGTGGGGGAACAAACCACAATGCTTAATCCAGTGTAGATGTTCAATAAATATTAGTGTTTTTTAAAATCCCTTTTAATCCTCATAATAGTCTTTTGAGATAGATATTATACCTATTTTCTTAGATGAGAAAACTGAGGCTCAGATAGGAATAATAAATATGTAGAATTTAAATGAGAAAATAGGTAAACTTAACACAGTACCTGTCATATACTATGTATGCACTCAAAATATAAACTTCCTTTCCTAAAAACCCGTCACCTAGCTATCTTCAAAGTAATTGTCATGCAACTAAACCATTTAAAGTATGCAGCAGCAGCAGCACATCTCCAATTGTATATTTATTTCCTGGGAGTGCAGAAAAGATTGCAAAACCTGCTTTAGAAGTGGGGGAACAGCTGGTGGAGGGCGATATTTCCTAGTTAATATCCTTTTTTTTTTAAGAATATGATCCTTCCTATGTGACTGCTAGGATCCAAGGTCCAAAGATGAATACAAATCCAGGCTGGGAGCTAATCCTCAGTGCCTGCACATAGGTGTTCAGTGAATGAGGGAGAGGGAAGCAGGCATTCTTCACATGCCTTTGTGACTGTTGTTCTCTCAGTTATTCCAGCTTCTTTAAATAAGAGGAAAATGTGGTTACAAATGTAGGATTAAACTGGTAAGAGATCTAGATCAAACACTTTTTATTTCATTAAGTGCAGGACATGCCATTCACTCTCAGATTGAATAAAGGATTAACACATTTTAGTCCAGAGACTGTCAATTGTTTCTCAAATGATTCTAGAACCTTTTGGTCCCACCCAACTTTCTTGTGAGAGATACTTCAAAATAACATAGTTTGCCAGAGAATGTCCCAAAATCAGAAAGGTAAAGTAATAATCTTAAGGAGTGTTTCATTTTATATCTCAGTTTGTTCAAATACTTCCCTTTTGAGAAAATTTTGCCATGTCTCAGCAGCAGCTGTAGTCAAGATGGTCAGATGTGGAACTAATAATATTGACATCACTATTCAAGAGGCAATTTGAATTCTCCCACCAAGTTTCTTTAAAGCAGGACTATAAGGCCCAGCACAGTGGCTCACGCCTGCAATCCCAGCACTTTGGGAGGCTGAAGTGGGTGGATCACCTGAGGTCAGGAGTTTCAAGACAAGCCTGGCCAACATGGTGAAACCCCATCTCTACTAAAAATACAAAAAAATTAGCCAGGCATGGTGGCAGGGACCTGTAGTCCCCTCTACTCCAGAGGCTGAGGCATGAGAATCACTTCAACCAGGGAGGTGGAGGGTGCAATGAGCCGAGATCGCACCACTGCACTCCAGCTTGGATGACAGAGCGAGACTATCTCAAAAAACAAAACAAAACAAAACAGATTTTGGTTTCCATTTCACTGATCTGTAACCTGTAAGCACTGAATCATCACGTTTTGGATACTAATCACTGAAATAGGTATTCTTTTGTGGTCTTAAGTTATAAACACAAATATGCTCTTAAAGTATAATTGGCTTCTGATATGGGTATTAGGGACTTAGGGTTCTAACAGACTTTTTAATATGTTCTATTATTTTACATATAGTAAGTACCTTTTACTTTTTCTACTTCATTATTGCAATAAGGACCACATCTTTGGAAATGAAACCAGGAAAAAATTTTTTTTTTTTTGTATATACAGTAGAGCTTTGAAAGTTAAGTAAAAATTTCCAGTAGTCAAAATTATTGTAAAAAAATCCTTTAAAATAACACATCAAATATAGTAGTGTGTGTGTGATTTGTGAACTTAGATTGTTTCATATATTCAATAGTGTTTATCCGTGTCCTCAAATAATCATGCTTTGTTTCTTTTCTTCAGGATGTTGATCAAGTCATCACCCCTCCATTTATCTTGAACAATGTGTTTTAAATCATCCACAGATTTTTCCATTGGTTTCACAATTGTTCATTCTCAGTTTCAGGTTTAATTGCATCTATTGCTTTTAATACACGTAAAGAAAAAGGACTATTTTCCTGATATACAATCTCTTTAGGTTAACTTTAAAATAATTCAATACATTGTGATTGGAACCCACTAGAGAGTTAGGATCTGTTCTCTTTACTTGTGCATGGTTAAACTTTTCTGTTAACAAACATGTCTTTCCCGTGCTCTAAACATGAAAGTATTATATGTGTATAATCTTATGCTCATTTAGGCTTGCATTGTTTTATAAAAACTGGGTGAAAAGCAAAATACCCTAGACCCCCACCCAAAAAAAAGTAACATTAGTGTAAGGAGTAAATTTACGAAACAGTAAGTTGTGTTGTGTTGGTGTCAGATGCTCCTAGTCAAAGCCTTGATGACCATCTGTAAGCTTATCTGTTTGATATAAATGATCTAAAGGACACCCCAAGAAGGTTCCAACAGGCAAGAGAATGGAGTAGACATCCTCAGGGTGCTGAATATTTCTTCCCATGACAGGGTAGGAAATCTTTATCCCTCAAGGGATATTGCTGTAAACCTTCGTTAGCAAGTAGATATCAATAAATGTTGAATGAATGACTCTTGGTCCTCCAGCAATATTAAACAGGATTGAGGAGTAAAAAGAAGTGTCTAGGTCACCTCCAAATTCCATTGTAAGAGAATTGAGCCTAAGAAGAATGAATGTCATGTTAACTTTTATGTTATGGGGCATAATTAATTATTGTTGTTAATGGAGTAGGACTGAGAAAGTCTTAAATTCCTGTATGGGACAGAATGGAAGGGGTGGTTAATAAATAAATCAGTAATGTATTACATCTCAGAGGAAGGAACTGGGAAGACTAGGATTATAAAATCTTGTTGAGCTTATCTGATATCTCTTTACTAAATGTCTTTAATTTGTATGTCTTCCCAATAGCAAACTATGAATCACTTTATACATTAACTGTGTTTAATAATTGCATGAAATGTTATAGTTTAGCAAGCACTTTCACCCTTCTAGTCATTTTCTCAGCAATCCTGATGTTGGTGTTAAACACCAAAAACACGTAAGCTTCTGGCGAGACAGGGCCATGTCCTATCTATTTCCATAGCCCTATGCCTACTCCTAGTAGACAATTAAAAAATACTTGCTTTTTGTATAAACCCTCATGTTAACAATGAAACACAGGTTCAGAAAGGTTAACTTGCCCAAGACCTGTGAGCAGGAGAGGGGAATTTTTCCTAGGCCTTTGGCTCTAAATTGTGTGGCATTTTCTCAACCTGGATGAATGAACCCCTCTCAGTAAATGCAAATCTATGCATTTTATTCATGCATCTTCAAATTATTTAAGATAATAAACATAGGGACATTTTCAGGTTTATTTATCTGCTTTTATTCCTTACATAAATTTCAGGCATATTCTATCTAACATTTTAGTAAAACTGCATACATATTTTAACAATATGCATAGAGGTGATTAACATCATCATGTTAGAATACTCGGATGTTATCCATCACACACCAGGTCCTGTCGTGGGGTGGGGGAGGGAGAAGGGTAGCATTAGGAGATATACCTAATGTAAATGATGAGTTAATGGGTGCAGCACACCAACATGGCACATATATACATATGTAACACACCTGCACGTTGTGCACATGTACCCTAGAACTTAAAGTATTAAAAAAAAATACAAAATTTAGCCAGCCATG